GGAGCAGATACAGACACACAGATCACACAAACAGACAGACACTTATATAAATCAGTTAGGTACAGACAGACACACTCACAGATCAGACACGTACACAAACACATGCATAGGAGACAAGTACAGAGACACACAAAGTTCAGAAGTACACACATTTGTATTCCTAACTCTGTTGGGATGTCACATTGAGTCTTGTATTATAGTATTTACTGTTCCAAACTCCACTCAAATAAAACTCAACGGGGTAAAATAAGATCCAAAATAAATATTTTGGGTACTTTTACGATTGATAGATAGGCAATAACAGAACATACAGATACTAATAAACACACACAGGGTGCTTGCTCAGTTCCCATAGACCAATTCCAAGCTTCTTTCAGACTTCTTCCATGAAGCCTTTAGACATTTTCAAAGCCCATCTATAACGTTTGTGTCTTTGTGAAACGTATGCATGCTCCGTTGACATTTTTCTTGCGATGAATTATACATTTCAGCGAATAAAACCTCAGATAATTCACGAACACAGAATAAATATTCACACGACAGTTTTCCTGCTTTTTTTATGCGGCTTGACACAGAAAACTAACAGAACAGAGTGTAAGAAAACAAACCCCCTTTGGTTTAGATATTGTTGGAATATGGTGCACAATATTAAAAATTATCCCAGTTGAAGAACGCAGTTTGCACTGACAAATCTTCCCTCATATTACTGAACTCTGTTACGTGCAAGTTCATTAATAACAGCCCTTATAAAAACAGTGTCAGAATTCTGCCCTGCACTTCTAGAATTCCCTCCCCTTCAGCATAAAGGCTACAACGCCTTTTATCACGATCAGAAACCCAGCTGAAAATGAGAGCTGGGATATAGCTACAGCTAGACTTTCTTTGACATTGTGAAAATTATCTGGCTTTGATTACAATTACTTCCATTACGACTTTTCTAATTCACTCATGTTTTTACCTATGGATAGACAGATATTTCCAGATTTATGCAAAACAAGATTATCTGGCTCATTACGACATTTTTGTCGTTAGCATTTTTTAGCATTACTTTTTCAGAACTGTGTTATGTAACTCTTGTACTCAAACACTGTCTGGTCAGGTCGGACCAGTACACCTCAGGTTTGTAACTATAATTATCGTTTGTGCCATTTGTGTCACAGACATGTCACTGTCGATTTTTATTGTTAGCTATATATCTCGAAAGTGTACAACGAACGCTGATTGCATGTTCAGTTTGAAATAGCAATTGCTTAGCGTGACTGACTCTCAGAGTACAGCTGAGTTCGGTTCTGTATAGGTGCTTAAATCCTGTGTTTACGCCCACCTGAACATGCTCACCTGGCATGGATACAATGAACTGTCGAACACATTTAAGTGTTGTTAAGAAAAGAGCTGTGAAGACTGATGGTGCATGAGTGCAAAGCGTGTCCATATAAGGTTGCTAAACAGAAAGCACTGAAGACTAGACAGGACAGGACTGCTGCACCATGATGAGAAAACTCCTCCCCCGAATAGACTGCATCTGTGATGTTCGCTGCAGAGACCAGTCCACTGTGTTCACACACAGTATGTGTGATCGTGCCCGTACCTCAGAGTTTTCATTCATCATTTTAATATTAAATACATAGGAACCCAGTCTTACCAAAATCACAGACCGGAAATGAACTCTTTCCAGTTCTGCCTCCTAATGTTGTTTTAACATGGGTAGATTTCAGTTCAGCTGGCTGAGCCACTATCTGACACCCGGACAACTGCTGCCTCAGACGAACACGAATATCCGCTCACTGTTTTTCACGAGGCCGATTTCGGAAGCACGCAGGAGGTTAGCACGTGTGTATTCTTGTTGAACACCAATAAATTTGTGTGAGCTTCAAGACGTCATTTTCCATTTCCAGACTTTCCCGAGCTGCACAAGCACCCTGTCGGACAGAGACAGGCAAACGCACCCACACGGATCAGAGAGATACTGACAAACACGCACGCCAGAGAGGACAAGAACAACAGATGGCCTCAAAATCAGTGTCACTTACTCTTAGGGTCGTAGGCAGAGACAGCAATCATGGCGCAGGAGAAAGCAAAGCAGGCACTGAGAAAGAGAGGGAGGGGTGAATCCAGACATCATGACAGACTAGACCCATGGCGCTGCACAGCCCCTGTACAACACTACAGAAGACAGCGTCACATGCTCTCCTCCGTCCTCTCTCTCACCCCTTCCTCCACCACGTCTCACCTCCCAAGCAGCCTCAGCGGTCGCGGACCGTACTTGTCCATCAGGATGCCCAGAGGAAGAGTGGCCGCACTCAGGAGGAAGGAGCCGATGGTGAATCCTAGATTCAGCATCTCCTCCTGCTCCACACAGCTGAGCCAGGTACTGTTCGCAACAGACACTGAGGAGTTACCTTCTAAAAGAGAGAGAAGGAGCTAAATACACATCAGACATCCTGACCCACTAGACACTACAGGATATTAACACTGCACTGAGAGAGAGGGGTTAATACAGTACAGACGATTCTGACTGAGCAAAAAAGAGGTCTACTGTTGCATATACAGTGCAGTGGGTGTGAATACGGTGTAACAGAGAATTGTAATGAACCTTTGCAGAGGTGGGAGTAGAAACCCTCATTCTTCAGCATGATGAGCAGGGAGCCCCAGCCCAGCAGCACAGCAGAGAACAGCAGGTTCTCTACCACTGCAGACCCTGCCATCCACCACCTCCGTCGGTATGCTTTAGAGAGTGAGGGAGCCATCCTGTGAGAGAAAGAGAGAGAGGGGTTAATACAGTACAGACACACAGACTGGACACTACAGTACATTAACACTACACTGAGAGAGAGAGGG